GGGAGGGAGGGAGGGAGGGAGGGAGGGAGGAATTCTAATACAGTATATAATTTTTAATGTTTCACAAACATTATGTTATTGGATCAATTCTTTAAAGTGTGAAATATTTCCCTCTCCCATTCCTTGTTGATCAGCAGTTCTAATAAGCATGCTTTCAAAGAATTGAAGGGTATGGTTATAGAGAAAATAAGTTTTGGTATAAGTGTGTGTGTGTATTCACACACACAAACACATACACATATACATATATATGTTTATATATACACTAGACTCTACCATTAGGAAGCCATATATAAAATCAGATTTTTGTGGCATATTTTGAAGATGATTTACAAATATGAAAACAAAACATTTTATATAAAAATAAGCATGAAAAGTAGAGTATGTTGGAAATTCTGCCTCAGGCTGATAGTTCACAGACAATGAATATGGTCAATATTACTACCTTTCTATAAAAAACGTCCAGATTAATATGGTCAATATTACTACCTTTCTATAAAAAAACGTCCAGATTAATATGGTCAGTATTACTAACTTTCTATAAAAAACTTCCAGAGGGAAGCTGTGCTGTCTTGTTGCAGCAAAATAAAAGCCCTTGTGGTACTTTAAAGATAAAGTGACCCAAGCTTTCATACACTTTCCTAAGATGAATGTATGTATCACACAGATATATGGATATAGAGATACAGAAACAGAGGGAGGAGCCCTGTAAATAGTGGAGTCGATCGGCCATGGAACAAAAGGGATACAATTTGTGTGACAAAGCACAAAACCAAGTTTTTAAACTTTCAGATTAATCCTGATGAGTTTCAGGAGCAAAATGGGAGTAAAATCACTCACCCATTTTGACAGTATTTGCCACTGCTTTTTTTCTTGGCAACAGCAAGGATAGTACCACGTTCCTTTCGTTGGCTGCTAGGGTATGGTCACTAGTGTTCTCCTTAACACCCACAAAGTCCTCAGAATGATGTTATGTCAGGGATGTCCATGGGAAGGGATCAAAAAAGTCAAGACGGTGGCTACAGCAGCACAAATTTCTGCCCTTTTTTTTTTTTTAACATGCATTGCAATTTTGTCTTTGGCATACAAACTAACTTTTTTGTCCTATTAGACAGCAGTGGGGTACTGTGGGCCAGTCATCTACATCAGTAATACCGCTCATAATGTCTATATAGTATCACAGTATCAATGAATACCAGAAAAGATGTCTATATTGCATCAGCAATATGACTGAAATTTGAGGGATTTATTACACTTATGTCCTAGTTTGGGGCTTTCCATTTGCATCTGTTTGGCCATTATTGGAATAGAATGCTAGATTAAATGGATCTTTACTCAGATCCAGGATGCCTCTTTGCCTGTTTTTATGCAAGCATATCATTTATTGAGGAATTTGCTGATAAATTAGTCTAAAATATGCCTAAAATCTTGTAAATCCTGCAGTACTGTTCTGTAAATATATGCATGGATAAAAGTGATATTTGGCTTGCAGGTTTTTGTCCTTTGGTTTCTGTGTCTGATAAGTGGCCTGTTTTGCTACACGAATAGTTCTTTCAGATGAGGGAAATCTCACAATAGTCAAGGACAGGGCTACCATTCAAGGTCTATGAGAATAAATTAACATTGTCCAAGATGGGCTTTACATAACTGATTATGTTTAAATGATGTTAATTGGAACTACTGTTGTTTAGGCATTTTTTCTTCCTTGGATAAATCTGGCATTATCTATCTCCAATATTGTTGTGTTTAGGGGGTTTTTTCCCTTCCGAGTGGGCTATGTAATTTGAGGAATGGCCGATAGAAATCACTAATTTGCTGAGAATTTAATTGATTGCAACAGGATATAAATGCTGTTAAATAAGCAAATAAATAAATAATATGACAATCAAAATCCTAAAGTCAATGCAGTTAGAGATAATATATCATGTGTTTTATTCTGGTTGGGAACAAGAAGCATGAATATATAGGGTTAGGGTTAGGAAGATATTTTACACTGGATCAAATAATTGAGAAAGACCAGCTTTGTCTAACTAGTAATTATCTGTATCTATAAGTGGGAAATGTTTTTAGCCCTATTTGGAGATGCCAGGAATTTAATCTGAGCTCTTCTACGAAAAGTGTCTTTTCTCAATCAGTTATGCCACCTTCACCTATATATTAGAGTTCAGAGAGTTTGGGGCATAAGATGAAGTTTAAATGTTCAAATGAACACACTCCACTGTAATAATTCAGCAAAGGAAGCTAACCATAAGTTTTGAATAGGCAGTTGAGGCCACGTAACAAATAGAGTCCCTTTCTTGCATTTCGTGACTGCTGTTTTGAAAAATATGTTCTGTAGCTATGTTTTTATAGGTATAAGTCCAAGTATGGATGTGTAACACATACACACAGCTTTGCTTACCTAGGATAATTTTATTTATTTTTTATTTTATTAAATTTATTATGGTCGTCCACTCCAAAAGACTCTGCGACTAAGGCTGAATTAATTTGATGAAGCTGATTCTTTAAAGTGCTACACAATTCTTTGTTGTCCCCTTTAATAAGTATGAAGCTAACAGAAAATTACAAGATAGCATTCTGCTGCTGTCAGTCTGAAGCAAAGAAAATTACTGAAGGATTTCTGATAATTTTTCAAAGAAGCTTTGGCATTATTTTGACAATAGATGAAAGTCAACAATTTTCAGAAGCTGAAACAACAGACTTGATTTTATATTTCGAGGGTGTTGTGTATATACAGTGTATACACTTGCAGTATTTTCCCCATCCATATGCATATTTAAGGCACAAAAATTTCTTGCCATAAATAACATCACTGGAAACTTTAAGGAATAAAAATCTCACAGAAGGGCTGCATGTATATATTTTAAAAATATGGGTAGAACCAGTGTTTTTAAGTTAAGCCTTAAAATACTTTAAAAAAGAAATAATTTTTAAAACATATAAATCATAGTCAATATTTTTACAAACTTCTGCTTCTTTCCTTGTTAAAAACAACCATTCAACTAGGATAAAAACATCCAAACACACCATCTAAGGAATAAAAAGTACTCATGATGGAGCAAGTATATAAGGATCACAATTTATATAAAGCACACGCTCATAAGCAAGTACACAAGCATATATATTAAATGGAGAAATCAAAAACTCCCTATAAGTTACATTCTAAGAAATAATGTTAGACAGTCATTTTCAACCTTACCCCATAATCTCAGGTGTGTTTGTGTGTGTGCATGTGCATGTCCATGCATGTATGAGAAAGAGAAAGAGAGAGACAGAGACAAAGAGACTGACCAACTGTAATGGTCATAATCTAGGCTGTAAAAAATTTGAGTGGCATGTTATTGAATAGCAAATATAATATGTGAAGAGAAAAACTCTCCTTAAATCTTGTCTTCATTTAAATGAGAAGAAATGTCTTTCTACAAGACTTTCCACTTTTGTATTTGCCCATTAGTTTTAAAATATGCATTCAATCTTATTTTGTAAAACATAAACCACTCAAAAAGCCCCCTCAATCTTATCTCCGTAAACATACAGGTATGAAAAGAGAGGAGTTGTTGCTTAATGCTCACAGATAGCTGCAATAAGATATCACCTACCAGAACGCCCACAGTCTGAACATGAGACAAGCTCCTCTGGTCGTCCACTTTTTTTATTCATATTAGATCCTCCAAGGCAGAAATCACAGTAGTTATTGGAAATGATGGCCCCATCTGGTCCTTTTTGGGCTGTAGATTAGAAATATAATTTTTTAAATTAACAGAAATACCATGTGTATCTTTTATTCTTTATAATTTAGCTGGATTTGGACACTGCATTTATCAATTGATAGTTTAAACTGGTCAATGCATCTAGGTGGCCTGTGATTCTCTGGCCCTCTGAAGGAAATTAAAGTAGTTGGATCCCAATTAAATTTAAAATTTAAATACTCATCAAAAGCAGTGATAAACATGAGAAAAACAATTGTTATACTATAGTGAGCCATAATGTGATTTATCTTTGGCTTAGTATGATCTATGAACTCATCTACTGTGGTTTGTGAACCATCATTTCTTTCTTGTGATGGGTTGTATATCCTATTAAGCCAGAAAAAAACAAATCACATTGTTTAGCATAAAAGTGCACAACACGTGAATTCAAAACCACCTCTTCCCCCCGAAAGCCTTGGGTACATCATGACTTTGAAAGATGTGAAGTTGTAATTTTTAATGTGACTGAAGAAGGAAATTATTAAATATCTATGGAATACATACAGATGGACTATCTAATATCACATTAACTTTATTTAATGAATATAATTACTATTTACATTAAATTAAACCAAATTTCATTTTTGTCCTGGACCAATTCACTTCTTTTTCCTGAGTCCATTCCATGGCCCTGAAAGATCAACATGGTTCTCAGCCTGCCAACAGTTGTAACTCTTAGTTTAGTACTTCTGTGTGAATGAAGTGTGACCTAAGTTCAACCAGCTTAGTAGGAATCCAATTCAATTTCTTTATGGTCAGAAGTCAGGAGTAATGAGCAGCCATCATTCCTTCCTGACTGCTATGGTACCTTTATCTTCATTGCAACATCTGGGAGGGAGATGGAAGCCATAGCAGTTCCATCCTCATCCTTTGCCACTATCATGAGCTTTCTGACACTCAGCTGGGCTGAATATAGCTGATATGGAGCCAAGGATTATTGGCTCTGGTAACCAGTATCACACTTTTGATGTATAGTATCCAAGATAAGGAACAAGCAGACCTATATTGCTTCTATGAATTGCTACTCAAAAGTCAATTGTGGTTGTTTGTTTTATTCTTTTGAGTTGAAAAGAAGCTCTGGACCACCATCCCCACTTTTTAAAATGAGGCCTTCTAGAAATATTCATGGGGAAAGGCAAGAGTTTCTCTTCTGGTTTGCCTTCTTCCTTCCCTTTCTGCTCCCATGCCAGACAATGTGCTAAACTGTCTCTGACCTGGCTAATTCTTGAAGATGTCCTCTACATTTAGCCAGGACTTTAAAATACATTTCCTTAAGGGTGAGTTTTGGGGTGGGGTGTGGTTAGAGAATACACACACACACACGTGTCCTCTAGAATTAAGCATCATAATACCCTTCTGAATTTAGTGCTGTGGGTAATATTTCACCAAAAAACCCAGAAAAACTGTGCCATCAGGGACCGGAAGAAACTGTACCCTACAACTTGCAAATAAAGATAGTGAAGCGTTTGACGTATTAAAGTGCTACTCAATACTATAATGGCATCAGCAGCATGAAATCTGTTATCTGCTTCTGGTGTGACTTGCCTACCTGCCAGCAGAGTCTTTTCTGTTGGCACGAAGGCCAAGCAGCACAGAGCACAATGGGTAATGGGGTTCGTGTGTTTTCTTTGCAAAAGAAAAACAAAAGGCTTTTGTTTGATGCCTAAGCCGCGCAGGAGCCCTCTTCTCAACAGTTCAAATCTGTGGGCAGGATTTGGCTTCCCCATTTTCATATCTTTCCAGGCTTCATCCCTCGGAGGGATGGCTGACATACAATCTGAACCTATAGGGTAAATGGCATTGAGTTTCCCCTCGTGCGCCTTTCCCCCCTACTGCTGACAGAGCTCATCTCTCTGCAGGCTGACATGTTTCCATGACAACCAAAATTCCAGGCTCTGGCTGCCTCTGATCTTGCCACCTGTTATTACTCCATTTCTCAAGTGTAAAGAACTGATTTGTGACCTTTTCCCCCCCCCGTCCTCCTCCTCCTCCTCCCTTTCTCTCTCTTTCTCCCTCTGTTCAAAAGGAATAGATGGATTTGAGAAATTAAAACTACCACCACATCAAATCAACAGGAAGAGGAGAACACCACCGGCAGCTGAGGGCAGACATGTTCCTGGAAGCGCCATGTGCAAAGAGAAGAAGCGATTGAATCCCTGCTGGAGACGAGTCCACTTCCGGCTGGCTTCCTCCCAACATTTAATGAGAAATGAGGAAAGTCACTCGGGTGGGATTCAAAGGGAATGGCTCACTGCACAGACCGCACATTGTTTTGCACAGGACAGAGGTGTGGACTGAAGCAAGATACAGCAGGCAGCATAAATCTCCTGGAGTGCTGAAGGACAAGCCAGATGGAGCTCACATTAAAAAAAAAGTTCAGACGTTTCCTATTTATTCAGAAGGATTTTTTGTACTGTCCTGTGCTTCCAACGCTGCATTTCTTTACTCCTGTTTCTCAGTCTTTTTGATAGCCTGACTTTGTATGTGATAGGGAAATGCCAATAATATCACTACCACCTCAGCTAAGGTGCCTTATCTTTGCTCTAAAGCCAGGTGTCTGTCACTACAGAGGAAAGCCTTTCTCTGTCCCGCGAATGCAGAAAAAATACTCTCCATTTATGGAGCAAATTGGAAACTACACAGCTTGGGGGGTGGGGGGTGCACAATACACTGAATTGCAATTTAAGTTGCAGGGAGAAGACAGCACTTGCAATGTCCCTTTCTTTTAAAGAGAAAAAGAGAACTCCATGCAAGTAAAAACCTAGCGCATCAGGGGAAATATTCCAGATCAACTCCCCGTTTTGTTCAAAGGTTATTCAGTGCTTTGGATTTGTTTCTAAACAAGGGCTTTAGACTACAGGGAAATGCAAATGTAGCACCTGTCTGCAACTCTTTAAAGCAGTTGTGTCACCAATGTGCAACACTGGGAAAAGATGAAGCTGGTTAGACAGGTGCTAAGTTTTATTTATTTGTTTACTTACTCACTCCACTTATATACTGCCTAATTAACTACAGACTCATGGCGTTTTACAAGAACAATCAACAGTGGACAATTTAATTTGCAACCCCCTTGAGCATTCTCTGGAATGGAGTGTGAAGCATTATACAGCCCTAACCTGTTCTATTTGCAGTGAATTTTAATGCATGCCTCATCAGTACTGCCAATAGGTCAGCAGGGCACAACCCCAGTAAAAGCTTTGGGTGCAATCTTCAGAACCTGCCCTACAGCCAAACTGTAGGTTAAATGTGCCAGAAGAGGGAATTTACTAAGAATATGTAAACCGTATTTACTTAATTTATGTTAAGTAAATTAATTAAATTTAAATATAGTTTTTGTCCTGGCCCTGCCTTTCTTTGGAATCTTATTTAAAGGCAAGGGTGGCCATCAGCTCTATGCTAGGTATTTTTTTGAGAATAAGTACAATTTATAAAGATAATGTATATTTTAAAACAAAAATAATAAATATGCTGCTGCAATTAAATACATGTCTTGCCAGCCACCCATCCATATAATACTAAAGAAAGCAAAGAAGAAGGAAACAATGCAGGATGCTGTGGGGCACAACCTCAGCCTTATTAAGCCCTGACATCCCCATGCCAATGCAAGTATTGATCTTAGGCCTGTTTGCTACTACCCTGAGCACTTGCCACACTATAAGGCAATGGGTATACTAGCTGTGGATAACTGGAGTAGTAGTCTAACATGTTTGGAGAGCACCAACTTGGGAAACATTGCTGTTCATCCGATAATATTAAACTAAATAAATATAACAGGCTAAGCCAATCTAAACCTCAAAATTGTTCTATAGGCTCTATTACAAAATCTGATCATATTCTGATAAGAATATCAGTAGCATTTGGTAAGAAATATTAAAATGGTATGAGATGGTATTTTCATATGTCATTAAGAGACCTATTTAGTTTTTAGTTGATCAGTTTTCCTTTCTTTCTCTTTCTTTCTTTCTTTCTTTCTTTCTTTCTTTCTTTCTTTCTTTCTTTC